TCAATTACAAGTTACAACAACAAAAATTAATGGTCTTTACTCTTTAGTGTAGTGACGTAGAACAAAATGCGGGAAACGATTACACTACCTTGTTCTGCGACTGTACAGCTACTGTAGCTGCACTAGTTATTACTCCTACTCGTAATCTGTATCGTCTCATCTCAATTGCCCGACTCTACACTCAAAATTCCCACAAATTTCCAGAAAAATCCCACTCAAAACACAATAAATAAAAAAAAAAAATACCCAGAATCTTTAAACATTGAAATGTTACAACTGGGTTTATTTGTGTTTCTTTGTTCAATCCATTCTTAATATCTAGTCTTTTTATTTTATTTTAAATTTTTAAATTTTTGCATGCATGTTTTCTTTGATTATATAGAGTTTGAAAAGAAAATGAAGAAGATAAAATATGTAGATGATGCTGGTTTTACCTTTATTGATCATCTAATCTCATGGTCAGTTAATGATATACTTGATGATAACTTTTTCAATGACAAGGTTAGTTCCTCATTTCCTCTTATTTAAAATATATTATATGGTTGGTACTTTATGTTTGTAAATTGTGTAATTGAATTGTATGATGAATTGCATGCATGCTTTAGTTGTAGTCCTAGATAGATTATAGATAGGGCAAAAGATTTGATTTTGTTGTTGATTCACTAATTTGTAGTTAATTCCAACAAGTAAATACTGTAAGAAGATTTTATTGCTGTTGTTGACTCTGCATTTTGTGAACTACAGGTCAGGAAGATCCCTTGTCTGTTTCGATCGACAACCGAGTATTTCGATGCATTTGTGTATCCTTTGTTAGAGGAGGCACGAGCCGAATTGTGCTCAAATTTGTCTATGTTATCTAGAGCGCCTTTTGGTAGAGTAGTTTCGTGTTGTAAAGCTACCAAAGATACTAAATTACACTTTTTGTACAATGTTAAGGTTCATCATTGGAGGGTTAATTCTGCTGGTGGAGATAGCAAAACTTATAATGTTTTGCCAGGAGATGTGTTTGTATTGATGGATTCTGAATTTGATGCTGAGGAACCTGTTCTACAGTCGGGGCGAAAATGTGTTCTAGCATCTGTAGTTAATATGTCTCAGGATGATGCAGATGAGGACACTTCTGCTACTTGTATCAGAGTGATTGTGTCTAAAGAGATTGACATGAATGATTTTGTAAAATAATATTTACTTATTGTATTTTTGACTAATGTGATTCCATTTGAACGCATATGGAATGCTTTGCACATGAAGGAGAACTTGAAGTTACTCGAGAAGGTCTTGCACTGTGATTCCTTGGTATGCTTCCAGTCTTATTGTTGAAGTTTTCGTATTTTCGTTCTTGTAATGCTGATGAACTTCTATTCCGCATTTGCCAACATGTTCATGATAGTTATATTATTTGTCATTTGTATCACTAGGATCATCCTAGAAAGAAAGGTTTATGCACATTAGTCGACTTGGAGAATGATTGGACTGTAATTATTCTATGATGATCATAACATTTTGAAGCTGAGAGGCAACTAGAACAAATCTATGTTGCTGATTTAGGACTAGGATGCTTATATATGACTATTTCATTTTATAATGCATAAATAATTGATAGCAACAACCCATTTAAGGCTTAGTTATAATATATTATTCAATTTTGCAGGACAAAGGAACTGATGGCAATGGCTGTTCAGAAACTGATCATTTCTGGCTCAACAAACTTGGTTCGGGTTTACCACGTCTAAACCCATCTCAGAAGGATGCAATTTCGGCTTCTTTGAAAAATATACAGTGTAAGGACAAGTTTTCTGTTGAACTTGTATGGGGTCCTCCTGGGACTGGTAAATCTAAGATGATCAGCACATTGCTATGCATTCTGCTAAGGCTTAACTGTAGAGGCCTGGCTTGTGCCACAACAAATGTGGCAATTACTGCATTAGCTAGTCAGGTTGTAGAGCTGTTGAGAGCGTGTTCTGCAAGGAATTCAGACAATAGGTTTTGCTCATTGGGCAGCTTACTTTTGTTTGGAGCAAGAAGCAGGTAGATGTAGGTTCAGATATTGAAGATATTTATTTGGACTACCGTGTTAAGAAGCTAGCAGAGGTTTTTAGCCCATTAGTGGCTGGCGCTGTTCTTTCTCGTTGTTGTTGAATGAATTCCAGGATTTTTCTTCACAGGATCATTTTCTCACTGGACAACATGGTCAGAATAGGTGCCTTGGCAATTCAGAGCAACTTCTATCCTTTCTTAATTCTATTAGAGATCAGTTCAATGAACTAATTGGTCCTGTCAAGAGATGCATCTCAATCTTTTGTACCCATATGGCAAAAAGTTTCATTCAGGAACACAATATTGAGAACTTGACTAAGCTTTATGATTTGCTTGATTCTTTTGAAAGTTTGCTGTTGCAATATATTGGTCAACTCAGTGGGTTGGCTCCTTGTAGTGGAGTCTTTCAGAAGTCTATTGTGTATATACTAGGTCTTCTCGAAAAGAAGGGAGATGAATGCTTTGATCTTTTACAAAATCTAATTGTTTCTTTGGGCAAACTTAAGTTTCCCCAAGTGACAAATTATGATTTCATCTCGGATTTCTGTTTCCAAATGTCATCCTTGTTATTCTGTACGGCTTCAAGTTCCTATAAATTGTATTATGCGCCTATAAAATCACTCGATGTTGTGGTTATTGATGAAGCTGCGCAGTTGAAGGAGTGTGAGTCCATTATACCACTCCAACTTCCCGATCTAAGGCATGCTATTCTTGCAGGAGATGAGTACCAGCTACAGGCCATGGTGAAAAGTCATGTAAGAATATCGGTCTAAAATTGATTTCTATTTTACTCTTAAAATTTTACTTAATCTTATGATTGTTTATATGATCCAGAAACCTTTCCTTTTTTTGATGCAGATTTCAGCGAGTGTTGATTTTGGCCGAAGTTTATTTCAGAGATTAGGTTTGTTAGGCTGGTCAAAACACCTACTAAACATGCAGTACAGAATGCACCCTTCAATAAGTGCATTTCCAAGGAGGATGTTTTACAGCAACAAAATTACTGATGCACCTAGTGTGAAGAGTGACGGCTATGAGAAACGTTACCTTGAAGGATTATTCTTTGGTCCTTATTCATTTATAAATATTACAGAGGGAAAAGAAGAATTTGATGATAATGGACAAAGCAGAAAAAATATGGTTGAGGCAGCAGTTGTCCGGGCTATAGTACTTCGTCTTTACAAAGGTATGCCACGCGGATAGTTCCCTTTTCAGGTTGCTTACAGAATTTTTATCTTGAAAGATCAACCTACTTATTTTCTCAGTTTCGTAACACATTACAAAAATTAGCTTCTGGATGTGCTGCAAAATGCAGATTTGATCCGTGACTAGAATTTTTTAAATTCTGTTGTAATTGTCTTTATATTCCTTATCAATTGGAAAAATACCTTCCAGTTCCAGCATCGGAGCAGGAACGAACTGTGAAATATTGCCGTTTTCTTCATGAAAAATAATGCTTGTTTTAGTAGTGCGAGTATTTTTTTTTTTTTTTTTTGGTTACGGTGTAGTATTGATGTTCAGCAAGTAACTAATTTATTATTTTGGCGCACCATTTCTCCTTGATGGAATGTGTGCTACCCCAGGCTTTAGTGACCTGGAAAATGGATCTATATTTTAGCTTTGGACATTTTTTCACTAGGTTCAACATTCTTTATCGAGAGCTGCATTGTTTGAATTGGTATTTTTACTTTTGGGATGCATTGTACACTTGCATTCTATACAAAAATCTGTGTTTTAGGGCCTCTATTTATCTAATACACTAATTGGCCTTTACAAAATTCTTTATTGCTGCATTCTTAGTCTTGGTTCATTTTCTTGTTTGCAGGATGGTGCAAATCACCCTGCAATAAAAAAGTTAGCATTGGTGTAATATCGCCTTATTCTGCACAGGTTAAGGCAATTGAAAGAATGATTGGTCAGAGATTTTCGAATCTGGAAAATTTTACAGTGAACATCAAATCAATTGATGCGTTCCAAGGTGCAGAGGAAGACATAATACTGCTATCTTTGGTCAGATCTAACAACTTTGGCGAAATTGGTTTCTTATCTAATCCTCAACGACTTAATGTTGCATTAACAAGGGCAAGGTATGTCTTGGAAGTACTTCCAAATAATTTTTAGGCTTCACTGCTGTTTTTCCTACACTAGTTATTTTCCAATTTACATTCTTGATTCCAGACATTGCCTATGGGTGCTTGGAAATGGGAAGACTTTAGCCAAAGCCAACCTTATTTGGAGGGATTTTATCACCGATGCTAAAGAGCGGAAATGTTTTTTCAATGCTAATGAAGATGAAAAAATATCAGAAACAATCATTTATGTTAAGAAGGAACTAGATCAGCTGGATGATTTGCTCAGCGGAAATAGTGTGCTTTTTCGTAATGCAAGGTGGAAGGTGGGTAACTCCTCTTATCAAATTAATGATGTTCAATTTAGTTGAACCTTAAACACTTCAGTTTGGGCTTACCTATTCTTGTTGCTGAACATTGCTCATGTTATTTTTCCTAGGTTCTCTTTGCTAGTAATTTCATCAAATCATTTTCAAAGCTGCAATCAAGCCAAACAAAGATGCATGTGTTTAATCTTATAGGCAAACTTTCAAATGGATGGCGACCAAGGAAAATCAAAGTCGATCCTCCTTGTGAGAGCTCTGTTCGAATTGTCAAGCAATTCAAAGTTCAAGGCCTCTATGTCATATGCTCAAATGACATTAAAGAATCAGAATATTTCCAAGTTATGAGGGTTTGGGATATTTTGCCATTGGAAGCAGTGGCCGAATTGGTTAAGAGAATTGACAAACACTATGGTTTATTCACTGAAGAGTTTGTCAGATGCTGCAAGAAAAAATGTATTGAAGGGTATGCTTTCTTTTGTTACATTTTCATCAACATGCATCTATAAGATTGCGAAATTAGGAAAACTATCTTGTTGAAATGATTAATCCTTTTTGGCAATATCTCATTTATCTAATTGATTTGTTATGCTCAGTACGCTGGAAGTTCCCGTATGCTGGAGCAGCAACTCTAATATTGTTCGGTACAAGAGTTGCAGTGATGCTGAGAGAACAAGTATATCAGATGACGATGATGTAGCACCAAGATGTATTGACAAGGCAGAAGTCGAGAGAGCTTGTTGCTAGTAAAATTTTACTCTTTATCTGTCGGTGTAGTGAAACACTTGATTTCTGTTTCTGATGGTAGGGCATTAGAGCTTCCCATGGAAGTGACAGACAACGAGTGGGAAATAATTCATTACCCAAGAAGCTCTTTTGTGTTAGGAAGGTCTGGCACTGGAAAGACCTTGGTGTTAGTCACGAAACTATTTCAGAAAGAACAACTATATCACATGGCTTTGGGTGGTTCTGATGAGGTACATGGCGATGCTTCCTTGTGTGATGACCCATCAATTAAGCTTGAGGGTAGAAGCGCTATTCTGCGACAACTGTTTGTAACAGTTAATCCGAACTTGTGCCATACAGTAAAACAACACATCTCCAATCTTCAAAGGTAACTGTGAGATACTTTACATTCTCAATTGTGACATTGTCAACTCCACATTGTCTCTGGGAATTTAAACAGAAAAATGTCGTATATATTAGGGAAGAAGAGTGTATTCAGTATTCAATAGATTTGTGTTCTCGGGTCAATTGTCAATCTCATATGTGTAATTGTTTCACCTCTTAGGGTGTTTTCTGTTAGGAGGAATTCGTTTGGTTTTGTATAAGGGTGCAAAGACATTTTCTTCTTCCCGCATTATCCTTATTTTTCTTGCCGATTACTTTCTCTCCTCCCTTTCATCCCCTTCCCACCATCCCCATTCTTTTCCTTCTCTCTAAATTTTATTAAGGTACTAAAGAAGGATACTTAATCTTTTGTAGCATTTTCCCTTTCAAATTTGTCCATGGAAAACAATATCTAGTTGGCAGTGTTTTCTGTCCAACCAAATGGAATTTTAGTGATAATGTTGAGGAGCATGCTCTTGGAGCATGTTTGATTATATGCTAAGCTATTTTGTTAATATTGATAATCTCATATCTGTTGTCGTACTGAATTTGGCCTCACTGATGCTTCAGCACTGTTCGTGGAGAAATCTTGAATAAGGAAACCTGCATCCAAGTTTATGATGAGACGCAACTATTTGAAGATATTCCTCACTCTTTCTGGGAGATCCCTGCTGAGTCATATCCTCTTGTGATATCTCTCAAGAAGTTCCTGCTCATGCTGGATGGTACAATAGGTACCTCATATTTCCATAGATTTGTGAAAACTAGACAAACTTGTAGCTTAAAATCAGTTGAGCTGCAAATGATGGAAAGGAAAGAAGTAAGCTTTGATAAGTTTAGTGTCTCATACTGGCCTCACTTCAATTCGACTCTTACAAAGGATCTTGATCCTTCAAGAGTTTTCACTGAAATACTCTCTTGTATAAAAGGTGGAATAAAAGTTGAACAGGGTAGACTCACTTTAGACAGTTATATTCAATTGTCTGACTGCAAAAAGTCAAGCTTAAGTAGGAACGAGAGGGAGGCCATATATGGTATATTCTTGTGCTATGAGAAGATGAAGCTTACAAGAGGTGAGTATGATTTGTCTGATGTAGTGAATGATCTTCATCATCGGTTCAGCCATCAAAGGTATGAAGGTGATGCCTTGGATTTTGTGTATATAGATGAAGTTCAAGATTGGACTGTGCGGCAACTTTCTCTTTTAAAATATGTTTGCAAGAATGTCAAAGAAGGTTATGTGTTTGCTGGTGATACAGCTCAAACAATTGCCCAAGGTGTAGATTTTAGTTTTGATGAGATCAGAAGCTTTTTCTATGTCAATTTTCTCCAAGGCCCGTGTGTGAAAACTAGTAAACAGGATCAAGGAAACATCTGCCCAATTTTTGTGCTGAATCAAAACTTTCGATCCCATGCTGGGATTTTAAAGTTAGCTCACAGTGTCATCAAACTTATCTACCATTTCTTTCCATACTCAATTGATAAGGTTAATCCAGAGTTCAGTCTTTATTGATGGAGATGCTCCCATACTGCTGGAGTCTGCATCTGGTGATGAAGATGTTGTCATGAAAATCTTTCAGGACAATAAAAATGATGGCAGGAATACTGTCATTTTTGGAGCTGAACAAGTTATTATTGTACGAGATGAAAGTGTGAGAAATGAAATGCCAAGCCATGTAAAAGGACATGCACTTGTGCTCACGGTATTTGAGTGCAAAGGCTTGGAGTTTAAGGTAAATAACTGTTTGGCTTTTCTATTTCTTGACATTGACTTCTTCATTATTGTTATAAGGTTCTCGCTTGACATTTCTAACTCTATATTGTTTTTGTTTGATGCCTTATTTTTATTTTTATGTTGCAAAAGTTGCTTAATATACCAGCTATGCACTTTGATATTCTGTGATCCTGAAATAGCTTATCCCTGTGACATGTTTATCATCACAGGACGTTCTCTTGTACAACTTCTTTTCATCATCACCTATTAGAGAACATTGGAGTGTAATATATAAATATATGCAAGAGAAGAACCTTGGCTCATCATTTCCACATTTTCCAAAGTTCAATCATGCAAAACATAGTGGTTTGTGCCATGAATTGAAGCAACTATATGTGGCCGTCACCCGAGCAAAGGAAAGATTATGGATCTGTGAGAGCCATGGTAGTCATGCAGAACCTATGGCTAATTACTGGAAAAAATTGAATCTGGTCCGAATTAGACAGTTTGACAATTCATTAGCTCAGGAAATAATATTTCCCAGCTCTAAGGAGGAATGGAAATCGCAAGGTTTCAAGGTTTGTTTTTTGGCTTTATTTGGAAGACATTCATTATTAGTTTTCTCCTCCAATTTCATGTTAACCATCTTAGTTTAATAGATTTTAGAGAACCCATGTGATGCTCATATTAAAATTTAGTAAGTTTGTAAGTCTAATGCATCAGCATTGAGGATTTTGGGATCATAGCTCAATCATTATCAGATGTACCTATAATTGCTGGCATCATGCTAGGTGTCACCATCAGTGTGTGGTGTTATCTGAGTCAGGAACTCAGGATTTCATACTTGAACTATTGTAACTATTTATTTTGTCTTCAATATTCCTTGCATCCTGATTCACCTTTATATGCAGTTTCTCGAAGTAAGTAACTATGAGACAGCGGCAGTCTGCTTTGGGCGAGCTGGAGATACTTACTGGGAAAAATACGCCCGTGCTACTGGCCTTAAAACAACCGCTGCTCATATGCGTGGCTTGAGTTCTGAAGCAGTCAAAATGCTTACAGAAGCTGCTGAAATATTTCAAAGCCTAGATAACAACAAAGAGGCCGCTAAGTGCTTCTATGATGCAGGCAATTATGAAAGAGCAGGTAGTAGTGAAAACAGTTACTAATTTCAATGTATTCTGCTATTTTTAGAAACCATTATTTGGAACTATTACTGATATACCTTGAATTCTTTCGCTAGAACATAGCAGACTTTTGACACAGTCCTTTGCAAATGAACATTGAAAAAATAGAAACAAAAGTATAATGGGCAGTATGAATCCTAGTTAGTGAACCTTGTCCTAAGCCTGAAAATGAACTTTTACTATATGATTGAAATTGTAGCCTAAAACCCAATGGAGTTCACATTTAAGTTTACTTCCTTGAATTCTGACCCAGATGAACTGATTATTTCCAGAAATGACGCTATTGAACTTTTTTTTTTTACAGGTGATATATATCTGCAGCACTTTCAAAGTTCTGAGCTTGAAAAGGCTTGTCATTGCTATACCTTGGCCGGTTTTCATGCACGTGCTGCGGAGATCTATGCTGAAAATTACCTCTACAGAGAATGTTTGCATGCATGTAATACAGGAAAATTGTTTAACTTAGGATTGCAGTACGTACAAAGCTGGAAACAGCTGGCTCTTGAGGGAAGCATAGACTTGATAACATTTGAGCAAGAATTCCTGAAGAGTTGTGCTCATGCTTCCTATAAGAAAAAAGACAAGAAAAAAATGATGAAGTATGTTAAGAAATTTAGCTCTCTTGATTCAATGAGGACCTTCTTATGGAATCAAGGGTGTTATGAGGAGGGAATTGACATAGAGATAGAAATGGGCGATATTCAAGAGGGTCTAAGAATCGCAAGAAAAGTAGGATTATTTTTACGTGAGGCAGATTTATTAGAAAAGGCTCAGAATTATGAGGATGCTTCTAGGCTCTATATTTGGTACGTGTTTGGTAAATGTTGTTGGGCATCTGGTGGAAAAAATTGGCTCGAAAGAGATCTTTTGTTGAAAGAGGAATGTTGTCCAGAGCTGAAGCTTCTGCTCTCAATGCTTCAGCTGATTTTCACAAACAAATTCATACAGAAGTTCTGCTTTTGTCAACTCAAAGTACTGGGTTGTCTGAACTGGAGAAGCAGTTAGAAGTCTCCCAAAAAAGCGGGAATTTGAAATGGGAGGTCATATGTACTAGAAAAATTCTTGAAATCCTTCTTCAGACTCAGACTTCACCATTTAAATGGGAATCTGACTCGCGAGAAATGATCTCAGGTGGCCAGGTCTCAGTTGAAAAACTGATATACTTTTGGTCATCCTGGAAAGAGAAGATTTTGACAACCTTGGAACACCTAAAAGAGTTTACCAGCACATGATAATCACTGGGACTTCTGTCTACATTATTTTGGCGTGCGAAAGCATCCAAACACTGGTTACTTTATGCTCTATCCTGATGCTGAATGGGTGTCGAAATATCCGAAAAAGAATAATCAAAGACTTGGCACAGAACATTTGGTGACTTCTATTCGACATTACTGGTGTTCAGAGTTACTCTCAGTTGGCTGTAATATGCTGGAGTATCTGAATATCTTTCAGAAGTTTTCTGCTGATTCGATGCCTATGATTTGCAAAAGTAGGATTGGATCATATTTTTGAATGTACCCTTTTTTTGATGGAGTCGGATTATTTAAGGCAATGGGGTCAAGTGTCAACTGCTCGAATGTATTATGCGACAAAATGGTATGCTGCTGCTGTGTTTACCACTGAATGGTACAACCTTATCCTACATGATCAAGTAAAGAACCGAAGCTCCATCATCACACGAAAACTGAGGGCAAAACTAGATCATTATTTGCCTAATATGTGAAAGATTTGAATTCCAATCTTTGTTGAGTAATGTCAGCTAATTGCATTGTTTGCTTGAGTTGCTAAATTATGTTTGCTAGCCTGTGTCAAGTAAATATCTGAAATAGCAGACATTAATCTAGCTGAAGTTATTGATAACACTTTCATCTTGTCTTATATCTTTTAACTCAGGGAAGTGGATTACCATTTGTTAGGATTAGTGTGGAGATAGATAAATACATGGAGACATAAGGAGATTGCATAGAAGCTGCCTTATTGTTAAGGTTCGACCAAACTTGTGAAAAGTTCGGTCGAACCCGGTTTTAAGTCAGTAGGTCAGGCTGCTGTTTCGGTTCGAACCTCCCTGCTCCCTATTTCGTCGCTTCGTTTTCGGCTTGTGCGATTTGCTTTAATCTTAGCCGTTGGATTGTATTTTCTACCTAGACTATATATACCTTTTCTAAGCCTCTTTGTTGATTATTCACAAACATTTAAACACATAGAGAGGTTTTGAGAGGGTTTGTGAGGAGCATTTGAATTCTATACAATTCATGCTTGTAATTCTTGAGTTCATTCATCATCAATATTACTCCATAGTGCAAGGGTGGGTTTTTTCTCCCGGTTCTCGGGTTTTCCCACAGTAACATTGTCTTCCTTTTACTTGCTTTAATTCCTTCAAAGTTGTTCTTGATTGTTATGCTTGTTTGTTCATTGCTATTGTGGGTTGATTGCAAGTTAGTTGAACACTTTAATCCTTACACCATTAACTTCCATCTTATGTTAATATATAATACCCTTTACTGCATGAGTCCTATACTCTTTGTGCTACCCTGCCGACTGCCGTGCCCAACTTTGTCAAATACCTCTTTTTTACAATAGGAAGAGAAGCTCTAGTTTCCTTAGTTTTGCTCTATGTTGCCAACCTCATTCTCAAATCCATTACAAAAAATCAATGTGAAAAATAAACTTAAGTGCAAAAAAAAAAAAAAAAAAAAAGTGTTAAGAAAATTATTTTACACCCTTTCCGGTAAGATTGATTTAGCTTTTGATTTTTTATTACATTAATTTCTTATACGAAGTATTTCGTAACTTTTAAATTTTATGAAGAATTACTTCTTACACACCTAATTATTTGTGTGTTTAAGTTAGCGTGTATCACAATCCACACCCTTGACGTGTTCCTGTAATATAAAGAAAATGTTGATTTACTTACGAAAATGTCATATTGACTGATATGTTTCTATTTACAGAAATGTCACCAAATAAACAATTTTTGTTCATCACGATGATTAACTGGGGCTCCCTCTTATTTCCACCTATCTATTTACGGAATTCACTTGCATCGTCTAAATATTTTGTTGCACCCACTCTTATCTTCTTTTTTTTTTGGCAATTTTATACAATAATTGAGATTAACAAAAAAAATATGGAGGTACTAGCATATTACACAATGTAAAACAACAATTACTCATACTGCATAAACAAAAAAAAAAGAAAAAATCGCTCAATAATTACTCTCTTGGTCTCTTATTTGTTTTGCCTCAATTTTCTTTTTAGGCCGTCATTTTAATTTCGACCCATTTTATTTTTGAACATATAGGATTACACTTTTACTCTCACAATCACCCCTTTAACCCACTACTTTTCTCTCTCATCATTTTTTCCAATTAAAAGTTAATAAAGTAACATTTGTCTATGGGGTAAAAAATAAGAAACGAAGAAATACCTTGTAGTTTAAAGTTTAAACCAAGTTTACTAGCTGAGTATGAATTGGGTATTAGCGTAGTACACAATGACACATTGTAGAACAATACTACGGGGTGCACACAAAAAATAACTATGGAGTAGACGTTATAAATATAATCAATGGCGGCAAACATATGCAGTGTACCCCGTGCCACAACTGCTAAGCTGTAGTGACGTTTCATCTCTCTCCCCATCATTTCCATTATCATCAATAATCGCACTTGAAAATAAACCCATTTTTTGAAAATCCCACTTAAAAATAAATCAAAATGACTACCAAAATTCCTTCATTTTAACACCCACAACATAAATCATCATCATTCTTGAACTGGGTTTGTTTCATTCTTTGTAATTTCAACTTTTTCATGTCTGTTATTGATCATTTTCTTGAACACAACTTGATTTTTTAGGCTATAAAATCTAATATTTACTTGAATTTGGTTCTTGATGATTTGACGCAGGGGAAGAAAGAGAATTATGGATTTGGAATCCGGAAAGATTGAAAAAATTGTAAGAGATCAAATGCTCTCTTCAAGAAAAGTTAGAAGTAAGAAATGTAAGCTACATAATCTTATAGGAAAAATATTTGGTCCATTTTCATTTATAAACATCTCTCAAGGAAGAGAAGAAGTTGATGATGATGGGCATAACACTAGAAATCTGGTTGAAGTGGCAGTTTTGATGAATATTGTGCAACGTTTGCACAAAGGTAAACCGCCCTTTTAAACGTATTAGGAGTGGATTGTTTCCTTTATGTGTGTATTTGACTGTTCTCTGAGTAGTGTAAATTGTGATTAGTTATTATTGATAGTGGGTTGCATACTTGCATGTCAAGTCTCAACCAACAAATGTTATGTGAATGTGTTTGATGAGTCCGAACCCTAACCGGGCTTCTCGATATTTAAGGACCGTGCAGCTTGGTTACGGGTAAGGGTGATTCGTGGTTTTGTTGTTGTTCACTCCGTTGTTCTGAGTTGGGTATTCTTGTTTGACATGGGTACGTGTCCAAGTGTGCTATTTTGTGAAAATTTTCTATGATTTTGGCTTTGGCCTAAACACATATATATTAATATATCCTATTTATGTTTAAGTGTTGAGAATCTAACATGGGCACTTGAGGTAAATGAAGAATCCAAGTAACATAGGTTGTTGGCTATATCTGTTATTCCTTGTCAACTTTTTTGTAC